AGGGTGAGTGAGTAAATATTGTGTAATGTTGCATAGTAAGGTGGGTGTAGACCTTAGGTCATAACGAATTTGCAGCATAAATCATACAATTTGATTTTCTATTTTTCATATTTGATCGTTATGAAATGGTTCATGAGATGTAGAAAATGTAAACATAATCATAAGACATATCATCGCCCACTTGTAGAACGTTTCAACGACGGGAAGCTAGATTTGCAGAAGTCCGTAATTATTAGTTGATAAGAGCTGTTCCATGGAACTGGTCACCCGATATGTCTATTGTAAGGAGAAGTCTACTAAACCTGCATGGGCTTCATTCAGTACAGACTTGGAGCAAGGAATTACATTAGTCTCTGAAAACATACAGATAGACAGTCAGACAGAAAAGAAAAGAAAAGAAAACACACACACACACACACACACACACATTTTGATAGAAACAAAATAACCATTTACATTGTAAAAGGAGCCAATTAAGGGCTTAGTCCCTACCGGTTAGTCTATGATAATACAGAAATTTGATAGTAACAAATAAACCCATTTAAATTGAAAAGGAGCCCCAGATTCAACCTGAACCTGAGGAAATCTAGACTTGCTCCATTAAGGGCTTTAGCATTGCATGGAGGGCTAGGTACATGTAGAAGGTAAAATAATACAAGGAATGTTAGGCAGATTAGTTGAAGAACATAGAGATTTTTTCTGGGTTACATCTTCTTTTTATTCTCGAGTACAACGTTTCAGGGCTTGTTCTGGCCCCATCATCAGGTAAACTGAACAGTAACTGTTAACTCTGGCCGTGACGTCACAATGCTTATGACGTCACAATGCTATGACGCCGCAATACATGTGGTGGTCAATAGATACAGATGACATGGCTAATAGAATACATGTTATTATGAATATATAAGATGTCATTTACTGCAAAATTAAAGGATCAATTTAGAACTGTGCAGATACTTATACAAAATTGTTGATTGAATTAGAAATGTACAGAGACGTATTTATAAATGTATAGAATGTAAAGTAATAGCAGTGTATACAAAGAAATTATGCTTTATACATGGGAACAGTGACGAGGGTAGGGTATTGTCTTATTGTTTTATGTACCATGCATTTGGGAGGTAGACACCCTGGTCCCTGTTTATTGCTGGTTTTGTGCGTTTGATGAAGATAGCTTCAATCAACTTGCGTTTACGCCAGTCACTGATGTTTTTTGAGAGGACTTCAGTTTCCCAGTCAACTTCATGATCGGGATTATTCATAATGTGTTCAGAAACTGCAGATTTCAGATCTGATTTGACCACCACATGTATTGCGGCGTCATAGCATTGTGACGTCATAAGCATTGTGACGTCACGGCCAGAGTTAACAGTTACTGTTCAGTTTACCTGATGATGGGGCCAGAACAAGCCCTGAAACGTTGTACTCGAGAATAAAAAGAAGATGTAACCCAGAAGAAATCTCTATGTTCATCAAATATCATCTTCTAAAATGCCAATCAAGCATCTAGATTAGTTGAAATAATGCGGCTCAGGAATTGTGATAGTCTGTCCACAGTCCCTACAACCTAGCCCTCCCTGCAATGCTAAAGATCTAAATGAAGCAAGTCTAGATTTTCTTAAGGTTCTGAATCTGGTCTCCCTGGGGCTCCTCTTCAATTTAAATGGGTTTATTTGTTACAATCAAAATTATATATATTCAGGGACTAAACGTTAGTCTAGGATTGTGACCACAGACTAGGGAAAATAATGTGGTTCAGGGACTGTGAGACAAACTAGGCCAGTTGATGAATGTAAGACGTACGACTCTCACATGACTGCCACTTACTCTTATCACACGATGCTTTCAGCTTGACCTGGTCAGATAAAGAGTGGACATTGCAATTAGTGATAAATGGACATACACCACATTTCACTTGTACACATATTTGAAATAAGAGTGGGATATGTCATGGCGATACAATCTGAGAGGCAAAATAAATATACCGAGATCACATTTCTGTGTAAGAGAACAATGGACTGTTAGTTTCTTTTTTTAACCGATTTTGTTAAAAGTAATCTGTGGTTGGGTACAGCTTTATGTGAAGGAATATCAGTTCAAAGAAGACAAGCGTATGAAATGAATTAGACTTGCACAAGTCTAAAAATTAATAGTTTAAATGATAATATCTAAAAAATACTAAATAACAGACTGGGGTTTCTTGTACTGTCCACTTATCTAGACTTGCCTCTTCGAGGGATAGAATTACTATTCATCCAAGGGCTTAGCATTCAGTACAGCCTTTTAGCAAGGCTAGAAATTTATGTACAAGTCATAAACCCCACCATGTTTAAAAGGTTGTAAATTGTACAGAAATGCGAATGTATGTATTTTCATAGAAACCAAGCAGCAGCATATCATGTGGAGAAAAAATCAAATGTTTTAAATCTAATTTCTATTTCTAAAATGGCGTTTGTTTGGTTGTTGTTTAACGCCGCGCTCAGCAGTAATCCAGCTACATGGCGGCGGTCTGTAAAAATCAAGTCTTTACCAGACAACCCAGTGATCAACATCATGAGCACCGATCTACGCCATTGGGGCACCATGACATGTGTCAACCAAGTCAGCGAAACTCACCACCCGATCCCGTTAGTGTCTCTAACGAAAGGTAATAATAAGCGTCAGTAAATTCCAGTAAATGCCAGTTGTCTATATGCCAGTGATAAATGATACCCTAACTACACAAGGATATTAACGTTACAGGAAAACGTTGAAACAAAATCTCCTTGAAACACTGAGTAAACACTGGAATTGATATATGGATCCCGGGCGGTGGGTAGCCTAGTGGTTAAACCATTCGCTCGTCACGACGAAGACCCGGGTTCGATTCCCCACATGGGTACAATGTGTGAAGCCCATTTCTGGTTTCCCCCGCCGTGATATTGCTGGAATATTGGCGGCGGCGTAACACCAACGCACTCACTCACGTGCTGCTTGATAAAGGCAAGTAACTGTTCTATTCTAGCTGTCTTCGTGTATATTCACAACCTTCTGAGTTAAATATACAAAATTAGATATGATAACGAATAAAGGTTGCCACCGTCAGTGCACCTGTTTTGCATCACACCTCGGCAAATTAGTTTGTAAGCAAACTTCAATTACCTTTTTGAAGATGGAGAGTAACATTTTTACCACGTGAAATATTTGGGTATACTATAAGAAAATACGCCCACTTAATTGGAGATATGTGTTTTAATATTGAGGTCACAGGAACCTTCACAATACTGAAATCCTGGTACACGCATGGGATGTCTTTATGCCCAGTTACAGCACAATCACCACATGTTAGCTATCAGACACTAACATAGTGTTTGTTACATACAATGCATATAAATATCACATGTTTCACTGTATAAACATGTTCACGTCTTTCTACCCTGACCCAGAGAGGGTATGGGAATCCATGTCTCTCAAGGTAACTTTGTTTCAACCAGTTGTTTAATCGAAGTAAGTATGTTCTTTTAAATGACGGCTACATTAGTGTACAATCGCCAGCGGCTGAAGAAATGGTATTAATCCAGCTAGGGTCCATGCGGGTAGACAAACCACTGTAAGTCCCCATGGTCCCTAGTATGGTGATCTACCTTCAGTTGTTGGCGATCTATAGCCCCATTTTTACATTGTATTGTCGAAAATAATTATTCTACTTTTGAAGATATATGCTAACTCTTTCTGTGATAGTTTATTTGTCTTACTGTCCTTTGCCGACAGATTTTATTATGGTGATATGGCTGAAATACTGCCGATGTGACTAAAAATCTTAATTCACTCACTCACTTTCATAAACTATACATTAAAAGGCATAGATCCAGGGCACGTGTTATATTTCCAGGAAACGTGTCCATTAGTTTAAAATCACGTCTATCAACTTTATCGGCATTAGAAGCATTAATATGTACATAAGACGAACACCACCACTACACCAGCACATTATCATACTAAAAATAGCGAAAATAATTGTGACAATGTTTTCGTTTATCATATTGTAAATTTTAGACACAGACATCTCAACTCTGTGAAGATGTAAGTGAACAGTTTTAATAGGCTTCCTTAATATTTCAATTAAACTTTACATTTAACATTAACCATTTGAAATCTTCTACACAAAAGATGCATGCATTGTAAATGTTCGATTAAATTCACTCGGTATTGAGAAACATTATTGAAGGTAATTACATTTGAACCCAGGTTGCACAAGCTATTGATTTGTTATTAAGTCTTCCAGTTAATATCGTCATAAATATTACCAGTATGATTGAGGTCAAATATGGTTTTGAAACAATAGCCCTATATGTGTCCCAATCATTACTAGGTCCGTAAAGGTCCGGGTTAGAACGAACCTTCAGTAACCCATGCTTGTCGTAAGAAGCGACTAACGGGATCGGATGGTCAGGCTCGCTGGCTTGGTTGAACACACACACCCACCACACCCACCATACACACACACCCCTCCCATAATTTGTTAAATATCCTTTGGTACAAAATTGCTGAACCCCACAGTAGGCTACATGTGTCCAAAATTGATTAAACACACACACACACACACACACACACACACACACACACACACACACACACACCACCTCCCCAGAACAAAATGGGTAACCCCCCTTAAAATCCATCATATCACACACATACACACGCACGCACGCACGCACGCACGCACGCACGCACACACCAGCTATAAATTGTGAACGGTCCCTAATTAACGTTCAGTTATGAAAACATTCATGTACGTGATCACAGTTGTTTTTTTAGTGTCGATTCTACTTTAACATATTAATAAACCTAAACCTTTGATAAAATATGTTTAAACAAACGTTTACAAGCTCGGCTGGTGAAGAACGTGGATGTAAATATAGGCCGGTACGAGGAATCCCACTAAGGGGAATTCCTGAGTGACGTCACAGTGGAAGACGTGCCGATCTTCACGCAGCTCTCACCCCACACGTGCTCCGCTGCTGTCTCCCTAAAGCGCGGGTCTTGACGGGAGGGCGGGGAACGGGCTGGCGATACAGTAGCTGGAGGTCCAGCGGGGAGGACGGTTGTCTTTGACCACATGCAACCACTTTGAAATCAGTTCTGGTTACAGTTTGAACTTCATTCATACCGTGGGTGGGTGAGATGTAACCATGACAACTGAGAAGGAAGTACGTGGATGACATTGGCAGCGGTAGACGACAGCGTGGTCAGCGACAACAAAATGGTAAGTATGATAGATTCACTTCATTAGTGGTGAGTTCCTACTTGTTTTTATCTCATAAGTTCTAATTATTGCGGACAGCTTCAGTTGCAGGTAAACTGGCATATTATGTATGTATCAGAGCGGCAATCACCTGTTACAATTCGATTATTGCTAATAAAGGGCTGCCGTTATGTACTGAGATATTAATTTTAAAATCCGGCATTGAACAAGAAGCAAACAAGTGAAAAGTTATTTCATGGAACCAACTGTGTTCCGGTGATTTAGACTGAGTGAAAGGTATCCGTAAAATATGAATGAAATCCTGAACCACAATTTTAACTAAACCCCCATGAACCCATCCCATTCAACCCAACCCTATACACCATTCAACCCCACACCACTTCCCCCTCCCTCTCAGAGTGCTAACAGTTTAGAATCACAGACAGGCTTCAATTTGATTTGAATCTGGGCCGAAAAGATGTAAGATAACCATTGGTTTTCATTATTAATAATATATTTACGATTACATTTTGCGCTGAATTCATTCTACATGTACGAATAACGTTCAAAATAGAAATTGCTGTTTCTGCCTCGCATCACGTAGCTCATACACCAGGCGGAAGTGGAACTCCCTGAACAACTAGGAGATTCCGAGTGATGACGTCATCAGTGCGATCGGGGAGCGTGTAAATAGATTATACGCTGTTATCAGTGGTGTTAATATAGGTAATCTTTCTAGGAGAACTGGGTGAAATATATCGGGTGTTATCAGATTATAGTTGAGGCGAGTTGTACAGCTCCTGAATTTGTGTACATCACTCTAATCTTTGCGTTAGACGTTTTTTAGTGTCCACATGGTAACGCCATGCTAACTCATGTTGACAGGTGATGTCTGGCTAAATTGCTCCTGAAGCTTGCAAAAGGTCACTTTTAAACATTGTATGATCCCGAAACCGTATTGATTATTTAGCATTTCGTTCAACTGTCATACAAGGTGAACTGATGTCTAAATTGCGCCCCTTGGCTATGCTAAGATCCGATGATCGTAAGTTCAAATCCCAGATTCACCTTGATGAAGACTTTACCTCTAACATATACCTCCGTTCTCTTGAGCCTCACCTTGAGTAGCGAAAGAATCAAATGTAAACGCTATTATATGTTTTGGTTTGGTTTGTTGTTTTATGCCGCACTCAGCAATATTCCAGCTATATAGCGCCGGTCTCAGTAATAATCGAATCTAGACCAGACAATCTAGTGATCAACAGCATGAGCATCAGTATAATATGTTCTTCATTAATAAGTGCTATTGACTTTAAGAACAACATTATGCTTTTTCAATATTTTTTCGGATATTTACAATTGTTGCTGTGGTAACGGTATTTCTGTGCTGCTCTTTAAGCCAATGATTGTGACGAGTGGCTACACAGACAAGGCAGTATGGAAATCGTTGCTAGGGACCATCACAGTTAACAGAGAGCATGCGGTTACCCCAGTTACTACAAACACCACTAACTAGTGAATAATTCTTAAAGTTTCATTACACAATTACTGCCAACGGGATGTAAGTCTGAGCTGTAACTAGTAAAGTAGTGATTGATCGTTGGACCTTGAAGCTGACAATCTCAGGCATGCGTCCAGGTGAAGTAAGTGACTGGCAAAATGGAAAACATTTTTAGAGTGGTTTAGCATCTAATTGGGGTGAGTGAGTTTACTTCTACGCCGCACTCAGCAATATTCCAGAAATATGGCAGCGGTCTGTAAATATTCGAGTCTGGACCAGACAATCCTGTGATCAACAGCATGACCATCGATCTGCGCAATTGGGAACTGATGACACGTGTCAACCAAGCCAGCGAGCATGACCACCTGATCCCGTTAGTCGCCTCTTACGACAAGCATGGGTTACTGAAGGTTCATTCTAACCCGGACCTTCACGGGTGAAATCTAATTGGACTAATACAGTCAAATCTGCACTCTTCTCAAACAAAACCACTTTCAATTTGCAATACGCACTTGCACGCCATGAATGAACTCCCCAGCAGTGACAGGCTCGCACCAGATTTCCGTGTTCAACAAATGCATACTTCAAGAGTTACGGGACCTTTTGTCCGGATGTTTACCCTGAATACAAAAAACACACAGATGAAAGGATTCGTCTAACCCAGATGAATGCCTCAATCTGAATCAGACAGAAAAATACAAAAGATTATATTTGTGTCTCATTGCCGAAAGTTTTCATCCTTGGTGGATCAGAAAAATACGGAAGTAGGGTAAAATTAACATTTAAGATAATTTTTCAAATAATAATTGATCAAGATGCAGGGTAGTCTCTTGTCCCTGCATCTACCATGCAGATTCTATGAGGAGAGTGAGTGAGGATGGCTGAACGCCGCTTATAGCAATAATTAAGCAACATCAGAAAACTGGGCTTCACACGTACTCATGTGGGGAATCAAACATCGGTCTTCAGCACGAGGAGCGAACTCTTTAACCACTAGGCTACCCCACCACCCCTCATGAAATGAACGATGCGTCCTCAAAGGAAATCCATATACTTGTAACAAGTCACTCTGAACATATTAAAGTATATTTTAGACTTGACAGAATTAACATATATGTTTTCCACTAAACCAGCTTACCCAAAACACTTTAATTGGGCACTGCAAGATACAAAATATTGAGCTATAGTCAATCCTTCGATTCCTAGTTTGTTCAGCCAAAAATTCCCCAGACCATAACATTTATCCTCCAATCATATATTCATTTTATTATTTTTTATCGTTCTTGTAGCATTTAACAGCTGTATGGCTTCCGATTTTACGGTAATCCAAAGCCGTTCATTGTAGAAGATATTGTACTGGCTAGATGGAATGGATAAATAAATACCCAACGTCTCACATTTGACTTTAAGTCATGTTCTCCTGTAGTCGCCTACGTGACAACAGCCAGGTATACCTCGGGGAGAGCTGATTACAGGTAGGACAGGTGTGATTCAGATAGATCCCTACAGGTAACTACTGCGCGTACTCTCAGGTGTGTAGAGAGGCGGGTATTTGGATCAATATCAGGTAAAGCAAGTTGTGACTAAATTCAGAAGGTTATCTTTCTAAATGGGTCTTCAAGTACACGAATGATAGTTTAATACAATTACGGATCAACATTATTTAACATAAGTGACTTTGGTACCATGTTAGGATTCGAAAATCCTGATGAAACAGACTTATTTGTTGTAACCCTGGTATTTTATCAGTAATGAACTGATAATTAGGAACGCTAGCATACTTGCACAGGGGTGTCCGGAGATAACGGCTTTTCAGATCTTATAAGTTGTATTTATACCTGTCCTATCAGTATTGAGGTTTGTTTGTATTCTGTAGTAAATCAAACCAGGAAAATATGCGAGATAATCAAATACGCTTACTGCTGACCCACGCCGAGTGTTTTTACTGAAGTAAAAAAACAAATCAGGTAGTGAGTGAGTTTGGTTTTACGTCGCTTTTAGCAATATTCCAGCAATATCAAGGCGGGGGACACCAGAAATGGGCTTCACACAATGTACCCATGTGGGGAATCGAACCCGGGTCTTCGGCGTGACGAGCGAACGCTTCAACCACTAGGCTACCCCAGTCTGCTCCAGTCAAGTGTTTGAAGACAGAAACGATGAGTAGTTGTCAGATGTGTAGACAGTTTCCTGTGTGCGTTCTTGCCATACCTCTCTGTGTTCTGTTTCATGGTCCTACACGTAAGGAAATGACCCCAAATACCGCCATTAGTTATAGAATGACTCACGAATCTCGCCGTCCCAATATACACCATTAGCCCGTGGATACGGAGCGTGGAGCGCATTTATCAACAATCACCTTTCTAATACATCTCCGGGCCAGTGTTCAGCCGTAATGGCGATCTGACGTGGGAAATATTTAGATGAGGTCAGCTAGTTTTAAGATGCTGTTATAGGTTTTCCGATGGGTCTAATTTGTGGTCAGTGGGCCCAGTGAGTGGACTGGAGGGCAGATGAATTTTGTCTATCGTTATTCGAGGCCAATCTGAAGGCATACGGGTATTTTTTGTGTTTCATTTAAGCTTGATTCAAATGCAAATATATTTTAAGCTGTTATGAGTCTCCTTCATCAAGGCGATTGTGGTAAGTGAAGTGTCGAGGGTTAGGTTTGGTTGTTGTTTCACGTCGCACATGGATGGAGGCGTGTATGTGAGGATTGTTTCTTTCTGTCGTAGGATTATTATGTATGGCTGGTCTATTGTCGGTCTGTGTACTGTTCTGACGGCCTGCCTCACGACTGTCATGTGTATTATCGGGCAGTGTCGTGAAGGTCCCATTAACGTTGCTTGGTTTGTAGTTTGGTTGTTTAACGCCGCACTCAGCAATATTCCAGCTATATCGCAGCGGCCTGTAAACAAGAAAGGCCTTTTAAAAGGCAACGTTGGAGGCACCTGAGTAAATTAGGAAATTTGGTAATAAGGACGTGAGATGATTTGGGGTGTGAAGCTGATTGCAAGAGCATCACGATGACCATACCTCCGACTATTTGACACTTGCTTCTATTAGAGATCGGTACTCGCATTGCAAATACGGTACTCTCATCTCCAGTATGTGACATTTCATATCAAAGGTCTTTGTCATGTCAAACCATGTTTGGAGATGAAGTACTGGGAGGAAACATGGTCCAATATAGTGTCACTGCCGGGCCAGTGTTCGCACAGTGATTACTAAGACGGTAGCCTATAACATGTACACTCAGCGCTCAGCGTTAGGTACTGGGAGGAAACATGGTCCTATATAGTGTCACTGCCGGGCCAGTGTTCGCACAGTGATTACTAAGACGGTAGCCTATAACATGTACACTCAGCGCTCAGCACTAGGTACTGGGAGGAAACATGGTCCTATATAGTGTCACTGCCGGGCCAGTGTTCGCACAGTGATTACTAAGACGGTAGCCTATAACATGTACACTCAGCGCTCAGCACTAGGTACTGGGAGGAAACATGGTCCTATATAGTGT